ATATGTACATATAATAACAGATTATCCACTACACAAGGGCCAACTTGCTTTGGGTCTTTCCTGCACACATTTGAGCTACACCGTCTCTCAGGCCTAAATGTTCTATTGGGCATCTCAGGTTTCTCATAAAGAGGGGAGCTCAAGGGTGTGCACTCACCCTTCCCTTCTTTTAGAGCTTTTCTTTCCCTCCTCCCCTGTGCACCTGCCCAGGAAAATTCTCACTCAGTATAGGTCATGGCTCACGCCCACTCTGTGCAAGGCTGCCAAGGCAGGAGACTCAAGAAGGTGAGGCTGCTGCCTGCCTGGTGCCTTCTGTGACCTCTCCTGGGTCTCTGGATTTGCTTTTCTTGTACCTCCATTCTGAAGATTTTAAAAGATTCTGTAAGATTCTATGTTTTATATTGGTTGTTTTTCTGCCAGGTAAGTAGAAAAGGGTATAGCAGGCCTATTATTTACACTAAAGGAACATTACATGTATTCTCCTATACCTCTGATATGGTTTTGCTGTATGCCCACCCAAATCTCATCTTGAATTAATTTTCTTGTGTCATGGGAGGAACCTGGTGGGAAGTGATTGAATTATGGGGGAGGGTGTTTCCTACGCTATTCTTGTGATAGTGAATGAGTCTCACAAGATCTGATGGTTTTAAAAACGGGAGTTCTCCCGCACAAACTCTCTATTTTTGCCTGCTGCCATCCATGTAAGATGTGACTTGCTCCTCTTTGCCTTCCGCCATGATTGTGAGGCCTCCCCAGCCATGTGGAACTGTAAGTCCTTAAATCCCTTTTTCCTGTATAAATTACCCTGTCTTGGTTATGTCTTTATCAGCAGCATGAAAATGAACTAATATAACTTTTTCTTTCTTTTTAAACATACATTGTTGGTTTTTTTTGTCTTTTTCCCCCATCACTGAATATTTCTAGTGCATGTTGATGATCTTTCCATAGAAGTTTCCAGAGATCTACTTTGTTCTTGTTAATGACCACATGGTATTTATTTTTATGGAATAACCACATAGAATTCTATGGTATGGAATGCCAGCACAATACTAATGAACACTGAGGTTGCTGTTTTCCTTCCTTCCTTCGTCCCTCCTTCTCTTTCTTCCTTCTTATTAAACAAGGCTGCAGTGAACATTGTTGTACATATATCTTTGACGCTAGGAAGGAGTGTATTGTAGCATAAATTTCCAGTAGAATTGCTGGGTCAAAAAATGGTAGGGAAAATTTGTATTTTATTAGATATTGCCAAACTTCCCTGCAAACAAATTGTACCATTTACACTCCTACTAACAGTATATGATGATGCCTATTTCTCCTAATCATCAGAAACACTGGGTTAGTTAATTTCTAGGTCATTATTGAAGATCATTCTTCTACCTTCTCTTTGTTTTTCTCTGGGCTGCATGTTAGGCTGTCGTTCTACTCCTTTTAGAAGATTTCATTCACTCATTGGCTTCAGCTACCATTTAGATTCTAACAAATTCTAAATTTAAGCCTCTACCCTTACCCGAGTTATATATTGAAATTGCCCATTGGGCATTTCCATCTATTACTCTCTTAACACATTTACAACTTAATGTACAGAAAACCAAATATTATCTCCTCTGCACATTCCTCTCCCAGTCTGGAATGTAGTCTATTTGTGCTTCCACCCTTGATGCACACAACCACCCACCCAAATTCAGACCTTGGAGAGGTCGTGGCAGGTGGCTAAACTCATGAATTTTGGAGCCAGATTAGCTGGATGTGAACACTACCATTTATCAGCTGTATGACCTTGGGTAACTTCTTTTTTTTTTTTTTTTTTCAGACGGAGTCTTGCTCTTGTTGTCCAGGCTGGAGTGCAATGGCGCGATCTCGGCTCACTGCAACCTCCACCTCCCGGGTTCAAGTGATTCTCCTGCCTCAGCCTCCCAAGTAGCTGGGATTACAGGCTCGTGCCACCATGCCTGGCTAATTTTTGTATTTTTTGTAGAAACGGGGTTTCACCATGTTGTCCAGGTTGGTCTCAAACTCCTGACTTCAGGTGATCCACCTGCCTCAGCCTCCCAAAGTGCTGGAATTACAGGCATGAGCCACTGCACCCGGTCAACCTTCGTTAACTTCTTAACCTTTTTGTGCCTCAATTTCCCCAGCTGAAAATGGAAATAATACTTCATAAGGTTGTGGTGAGGACTTAATGAATATATATCAAATGTGTAGAACAGGGCATATTACATGATAAATCCTATGTAAGGGCTATTTGTGAATTTTGACTCCTCACATCTATGGAATTAGCTAGTCCTGTAGATTCTAACTCTGAAACGTTTCTAACTGAAAGCATTCTCTTTTCTCTATCCCCACTGGTGCTGCCCTAGTTCAAGCCTCTGGTATATTTTACTGAAATAATTGTGATGGCCTAACTGGGTCTCTCTCTTTTTATTTTATTTTCATTTTTCTCTTTATAGCAAATGTTACATTTCTAGAACCCAGAACTGATTTTTTTTTCCTCTCAGCTTTAAATCTTTTTTTTCAAATCTTTTGCTTACCCAGAACTTCAATTCTACTTTTTCCAGGAAATGCTTCTTCCCTGATCTGACCGTGTGGTTCCAATGAGAACAACCCTTTCTCTAATACTCCACAATTCTTGGTCCTAGTTGAGTGCACTAGGTGAACGTGTAACTCAGCCTGCCCCAATTAAAACCTTTCTCTTGGATCTCTTAAACTATAACTGCAGGGAAAAGTATCAGTCTCCATCTTATGTTGGAACTGGGACAATAAAGTTTGGAAATTATAGGCAATTACATTTCCTGCCCTGTGGAGACAGCTGAAGGGATGAGAGGTGGATGGGGAGTTTCTTGGCATTTAACCTCGTGCTATGAGCTGACTCATAGTCCATCTACACTCCAGTCTTCCTCATGTTACATGGGTCTTCTAATAAATTCCCCTTTTTCCAAATGATATTGAGCTGGATTTCACACCCTTGCAACATATGGTGCATATGTAGAGCTTCATATTCTGTTGATATCCACTTTAAAAATCATAACAAACTTTTATTTTTTACAAATAAAAAAACTTTTATTTTTATTTTTATTTCACCACAAATTCAAGGAATTAAAAAAAGGTATTCATGGAATTACAAATATACGCATGAGAAAGAGAAAAGCAGTCTCTGACAAGTAGGAACTACCTGACTCCCTGATAGGCCTTGGTGTTCTGTTGAACAAAAACAATCTCACGGAACACCAACATCAAGGTCACTGTATGACCGTGAGGAAGTGGGGTCAACGCCCAGCCCAACAACATCTTGTCTAAATATAGACAAAAATAAAGTCAGTCTGCAAACCACAAAAAATGTGATACATTCCCCTATTCTGGCTAATGTGAATGACTTCTGCTTCTTTACCAATTATAGCATTAGCCTCACTTCATTCTGCCTGCTTTATAAATAAAACTTATTAAGATACTACATTATGGGATTGCCCCCATTTCCTGATAGCATTTTATGACAGAGCAAAGCCCATTTCCTTGAACCCTACCAAAAATCTCCCAATAAAAACCCAAATCCTGTAAGTCCCTTTTAACACCTTCTTACTCAGACATCCACAGTTCCCTCTGGTGTGGTTTCTCCCTCCCTGAAGTGAGCAAGAAATCCAACTTGTGCAACTACAGGTGTGTTCCTGGCGGCCTTTGGCTGGAAGGCATTGACACATGGAACATTTAAAACAGTTTGCTGTAAGAGGTTTTCCCTCCACCACCCCGCCCCACCCCCCGTAGGTTTAGACTATGATACAAAGTACATTCTGGACACAGATCTGGGAACTTCCAGTATATAATTATAATGGCTGATAAAGAATAGGCTTTAATTTTCAATTACACATTATTGAAAGAATCACAAAAGACAAAAAGACAAAGTGAAAGGCATTTCCTGAAATGCATTTGTACTGCAATCTAAATTAGGTAGTACTTTACTTCTAAATCCAGAAAATAATATTAATATTTCTACTATATTAACCAGGGACTATCACCTGGAAATCTAAAAGCTACAGTCCCAGTGCATTTTCATTAAAACCTGAAGGTGGCAGTAAATTCCTACAAGACTTAGGTGCCTAGGTTAGAATTTGTATTTTTCCTCCTAATCATTCAAAATGGTATAGTGAGACTTAGTTGTATTTAATCCTATTGCATACTAATTAAGAGATGTTTAGGAAGAAGATAAAGTTCTACACAAGGATTACATTGTTATTACTCTTTATTAGCTGAAAAGAATTCACCATGTAAAAGCCTTAGGGACATTGCAACTGATTATATGCTTTAGAGTTACTGTAGAAACAAAGTATGTAATTAAGCAAAAGGAAACATGAGAACTTGTAATACAGATCAAAGTGCTCTGAAGGGATGTGGCAGTAAATATAATCATCCATCAGTATCCTCAGGGGATTGGTTCCAGGATCCCTGCAAATACCAAAATCCACAGATGCTCAAGTTCCTTATATAACATGGTTATTTGCATATAACCTATGCACATCATCCTTTAATTCATCTCTAGATTACTTGTAATTCTCAATATGATGTTGTGTAAATACTTGTTATACTGTATTGTTTAGGAAATAATGACAAGAAAAAAAGGACCGTACATGTTCAGTACAAATGAAACTATTCATTTTTTTCTGAATATTTTCCATCTGTGGTTGGTTGACGTGAAACCCACAGATATGGAGGACTAACTACATAGTTTATATTTATCTATGAAATCAATAACTATGTTGTAGATTTTTGTCCCACATTTCTCCCAATTTTATCCTCAAAATTCTTAAAACAGAATTTTGTGTGGTTGTGTTTTTACCTAATTATCTACTATAATCAATTTAATCTCTATAATATTATTAATCAGGGATGCCTTAACTAATAATTTAATATAGATAATTTACAAATAGCAAATTAACAAATATTAATTCATACTGGAAAATGAGTTACTTTGTTGATCTTTTATATAAAGATCTAGAACTAGAGTGTTTCATAGTTTCTTTTCTTAGAGAGTAAACATTATCATTGGTCCACTGAATTATGTCCAAAGTTATAGTAATGTTTTAGTGACCTCAATATATAGGCATGAGATTATTAGAGCTTTGAAAATTGGGAAGCATAGGATTTCTATAATCTTTTAGATAAAAGTTAAATGGGAGCAAGAAGGAAACGGACGTTGAGAGAACGAGGAGGAAGGAGAGAAAATGGCATCAAAGGATTACAATACCTATAGCCACGCTGCAGTGCAGCAGGGCTACAGTGCTTACACTGCCCAGCCCACTCAAGGATATGCACAGACCACCCAGGCATATGGGCAACAAAGCTAGGAACCTATGGACAGCCCACTGATGTCAGCTATACCCAGGCTCGGACCACTGCAACCTATGGGCTATGCAACTTCTTATGGACAGCCTCCCACTGGTTATACTACTCCAACTGCCCCCCGGGCACACAGCCAGTCTGCCCAGGGGTGTGGCACTGGTGCTTATGATACCACCACTCTTACAGTCACCACCACCCAAGCCTCCACACTGCTCAGTCTGCATATGGCACTCAGCCTGCTTACCCAGCCTATGGGCAGCAGCCAGCAGCCACTGTACCTACAAGACCGTAGGATGGTAACAAGCCCATTGAGACTAGTCAACCTCAATCTGGCATGGGGGTTTACAACCAGCCTGGCCTAGGATATGGACAGAGTAACTACAGTTGGGGATAACCATGTACCTGGGAGCTACCCCATGCAGCCAGTCACTGCACCTCCATCCTACCCTCCTACCAGCTATTCCTCTACACAGCCGACTAGTTATGATCAGAGCAGTTACTCTCAGCAGAACACCTCTGGGCAACCGAGCAGCTATGGACAGCAGAGTAACTATGCCTCCCACTAGTTACCTACCCCAAACTGGATCCTACAGCCAGGCTTCTACACTGGAGGAGACTTCTGCATCAAGTTTTGAACGACTGATGAGTAAGTGCTCACCAGGTGGGGAGGAGCTCAGTATAAAGCTGGTATAAAGGCTTAGAGGTATGTGGGAGTTGGGATGAGTTTGGGGAGCAGCAAATTGCCTGGAATGCAGGAAGGAAATGGTGAGAGATGAGAGTGAAATAAAAGTTGCTAGAATTGTGAAGGGGCTCTCTTCGTAGTAGGGAGTGAACTAGGTGAATCTGGATTATTGTATATGTGTTGCTGAATAGTCTTGGTGATAGTTTTCTCCCTTTGTTGATGTTGAAGCTGATAGTGATTGAAAAGATTTAGTTTGTTAAACTTAGTTAATAACAAACTTTTTTTATTTTTTCAGAACAATTCAAACTGTTTTTTTTTTTTAAAGGAACAGGATCTCACTCTGTCACCTAGGCTGGAGTGCAGTGGCATGATCATAGCTCGGTTGCAGCCTCTAAATCCTGGGCTTAAGCAAGTCTCCTGCCTTTGCCTCCTGAGTAGCTGGGACTACAGATGGGTGCCACCACACATGGCTAATTAAAAAAAAAATTAGTAGAGATGGAGTCTGGCCGTGTTGCCTAGGCTAGTCTCAAACTCCTGGGCTCAGGCGATGCTCCTGCCTCCACCTCTCCCTCCCAACGTGCTTGCTGGGATTACATGGGTGAACCACTGGCCAGGTAGAACTTTTTTTTTTTTAAATAATAGAAATGGGGTTGCACTATGTTGGCCAGGCTGGTTTTGAACTCTTGGACTCAAGTGATCCTCCAGCTTCAGCCTCTCAAAGTGCTGAAATTATGGGTGTGACTCACTGCACCTGGCCAGCAGAACATTTTTGATAAGTGTTTTACATCAAGTGTTTTGCACTTATACAGTGGTGAATGAATTGAACTCATATATATTCATATTCATTCATACAAATATATCCCCATATATTCCTGGGAATTCTTGCAAAAAATTCTTTTAAAGTTATACTTGCTCACAAAATGTTAACTTTATAAATGTAGTACACTCTACTACTACTAATTTTTATTTTATTATTCTATTAGTTTTTATTTTTTTTAAGTAAAACAGCTCAGTGACCAATGGCACTGGTGTGTCTATAGTGTTTGAACAACAATATAGAAGGTGGCACTTCGATGTACTTTTCCTATCAGAAAATTTCAATCTGAAGTACATTGCACTGTAGTTGTAAGTTTGTGTTTGTGTGTATGAGTATGAGTATGTGTGTCTATGGATGTGTTGTAATCTTTTAGACATTTTAAAACATACAAAAAAGTAGAGAGAATAGAATAGTGAACGCTGTGTGGCCATCATGCTCATTCAACAATTACCAACACTTCACTATGCATGTTTCATCCATCAGCTCTCCACTTACTTATATTAGGAATATTTTAACATAACAACAGTATCAGAAAGCTGACAATATCACAAAACTAACAACAATTTTTAAATATATTCAATCCATATCAAAAATATCCTAATTTACTTAGCTATATAAAATACTGTTTGGTAAAGTAAGAACTCAAAAGAGATCTATACCTTGAATTAAAGTTTCCTTAACTAAAGTTTCTTCAAAGTGGCTGCACTGCAGCCTAGGTAGCTGGAGTGTAGTGGCGTGACCTCAGCTCACTGCAACCTCCGCCTCACAGGTTCAAGTGATTCTCCTACCTCAGCCTCCCGAGTAGCCGGGATTACAGGTGCAAGCCACCATGCCCGGCTAATATTTTGTATTTTTAGTAGAGTGAGTTTTGCCATGTTGGCCAGGCTGGTCTCAAATCCCTGGCCTCAAGTGATCCACCCACTGCAGCCTCCCAAAGTGCTGGGATGACAGGCGTGAGCCATTGCACCCGGCCAAAACAGTTAGTTTTAATATAACAATTATTCTCAATGATTATAAATGACTAGTGCATTTCATTTTCAATTAGTGTATAGACTTGTTTTGTTTGTAATACTTAAAATCATGTAGCAAAAGCTGTCATTTAACAATAGATTCTGTGTAACTTAGAGCTATTCTAACTTACGGGGTGCTATTTCCATTTTGTTAGTTGGAGAACATGATAGTAAATATAGCATAACTCCCTGTGTATCAGTTTAAAACTTAGTATGTACCAATGAAGTCTGCATGATTTTGTAATTACAGACTAGTGGCGGTGAACACTGGCTGCCAGCAGAGGGCACTTTGAGGTTTTATATGTTAGAATTTCATGCCAATTGGTGGCCCAAGATTCTAGACTATTTGTCTCCAAACTGTTTCCCTAAGAGTAAAGACATTTCTAACATTTATCAATTCCCCCATGATTTCCTGTCTCAATTTACAAATTCCTGTGCTCTCTGGGAAGGAATAAGGCCATCTAAAGACAAACAAACAAAAACAAAAAACCCAGCCACAGTTCCCAGCTGTCACCATGAACAGGTGTGAGAGATGGTCCTGTGTGTTGAAATTAGAAAGGCTGCAAACTCCCTGGATTTCTTCTCCCAGCCCCGTTCAACTCCAAGACCACTGTTAGCAGTTCTGCCCGAGAGATCTGAAAGGAACCCAGGAATAAACACCTGGGTTTTAAATGGTCTAACTTAGTCAATAAGAAGGTCAACACCAAAGGAAAAAAATGAAGCTGAAGAGAGCCAATTGGCACCAAGGTAGTCTTCTGGATTACACAGGGCAATATTTTTCAAAAACTTTTTGACTGGGACATGTGTTTGAATACATACATGTGTATGTACACACACATACATCATATATTCACATCTAAAACAAGAGTCTCTTAAAAATATGAGTAAATTTGAATTGGATAAAAGTTTCCTTTAAATCTATTACATTATGAGTAAAGTTAAAGATCTTGATGTACAACAGAGGCAGGATTGCAAAACAATGACAGAGTAGACTTTTGGAAAAATAGTTATTATAGGGTTTTGGGAAAGTAGTTATCCAGGTGGGAAAACATGGAAATTGGGCCTCTACCTTTATAAAAAATTAACTTCAGACGGAGAATTCTGGGGAGATGATGATGGCAGCAGCATAGTTTCAATCTCTGTATTTCTCCACGTAAGGTAGTTTTTTAGTCTCTTATTTTCTACATAAAAACTGTCAGATAAACTGAGAGACAGAACTAAAAACTCATGGACTCCATTTACAACACAACTAAATAGAAAATTTCCCCCACAAACTCCAAACTACAAATGGGTGGGGCCCAAACACCAGTAGCCACTGTGCAGGAGAAAGAAGAAGGAAGAACAGAAAAAGAGCAGAACCAGGGCGGAGCAAGATGGCCAAATAGGAACAGCTCCAGTCTCCAGCTCCCAGCGCGAGTGACACAGAAGACAGGTGATTTCTGCATTATCAACTGAGGTACTGGGTTCATCTCACTGGGGAGTGCTGGACCCAATCGGTGGGCTAGGTCAGCTGTTGCAGCGGCGACCAGCTCAGAGCTGAAGCAGGGTGGGCCATACCTCACCTGGGAACGCAAGGGGAAAGGGAATCCGCTTTTCCTAGCGCAGGGGACAATTGAGACCACCCAAACACCCTGGAAAAATCGGTAACTCCCACCCCAATTAGCTGCGCTTTAAGCCAAACAGGCACACCAGGAGATTATATCCCACCACCTTGGCCGCGAGGAGTCCCACGCCCACCGGAGGCCTTCCTCCAATTGGCTAAGGCCACAGGCAGTACCTAACCGCAAAGGCACGCAGTAGCTGGGGGAGGGGTCCGCCATGTGCTGAGGCTTAAGTAGATAAAGCAAAGCCCCTGGGAAGTCGAAAATGGGTGGAGCTCACAGCAGCTCAAGGAGCCTGCCAGTCTCTGTAGACTGCCAGCCCTCTGGGGACAGGGCACAGCTAAACAACAATTAAGCAACACAAGCAACCAAAAAAGCCAAGCAGAGAACGCTCTCAGAACAGGCGACTCTGTCTGACAGCTTTGAAAGAGAGGGGCGCTGGATGCTCCCCAACACGGAGGGTTGAGATCTGAGAACGGACAGACTGGCCTCTGCAAGTGGGTCCCTGACCCCTTGGAAGTAGCCCTACTGGTAAAGACATCTCCAACTAGGAACAGACAAACCACCCCACACCTCACACGTGGAGTAGCACCCTCGAGAGAAGCTTGCCAAACAAGCAAGAATCAGACAGGTACCTTGCTGTTCAGCCAGTATTACCTATCTTCCTGCAGCCGTGCTGCTGCTGACAACACGCGAGGCAACAGGGTCTGGGAGTGGAACCTCAAGCAATCTCCAACAGACGCTAGCAGGCTGAGGTCCTGACTAGTTAGAAGGAAAGAACTATCAAACAGGAAGGAGCACCACACCAAAACCCGCATCAGTACGTCAGCGCATACCATCAAAGACGCACGAGGCAGATAAGAACCACCAAGATGGGGAAAAAAAGCAGGGCAGAAAAAGGCTGGAAATTCCAAAAAAATAGTAGAGCGCATCTCCCCTCCCAAAGGAACACAGCTCATCGCGCAGGCAACGGATCAAAGCTGGGATGGAGAAATACTTTGAGAGATGAGATAAGGCTTATCCAGTCCCATCAAACCTTATCAGAGCTAAAGGAGGAATACGATACCCAGCGGCCAAAGAAACTAACAAATGCGTTTGCCCG